AATAACTGTATCAGCTGTTGACTTTTAACACACACACGCATACATAGATAGATAGATAGATAGATAGATAGATAGATAGATAGATATGAACAGAATGAGATAGATAGATAGATAGATAGATAGATAGATAGATAGATAGATAGATATGAACAGAATGAGATAGATAGATAGATAGATAGATAGATAGATAGATAGATAGATAGATAGATAGATAGATAGATTTTAAACGTAGAAAGAAAGAAAGAAAGAAAGAAAGAAAGAAAGAAAGAGCTTGGGCATATAATTTAACATTATACGATAGATGACAATTTCACACCTTAAATGGGCATCTGTCCATCAATCAGTGTTGAATCCTATGTCCCCACCGTCTATAGCTATAAACACTTTAACACTTATATTCAGCACTTTTCCCTATATTCTCAGGTCTCATCTTCATCGGTGTGGATATTGTTCATTATTCATTGCCATTCAAGAGGACTGATACTACGTAACAGTTCAGTAGAGTTTTCTTTGTTTCTAACGGAATTTTTCTGTTTCTTAATACTTTGCTTAACTTTTGGAAGACATCTTTTTCTATCCCAGTGCGCCTTCCGATCTCAGTGCCACACTTTCCGTCCTCTGTTAAAACACTTCCCAAATATTTAAATTGTTGGACCTGTTTGATTTTGGCATCCCCGACTTGTAATTTGCATGTATCGGCTGATCCTTTTGGTAACATTCCGTCTTCTTGCAATTGATGTTTAGTTCTTTCTTCTCACTTTCTTTCAATACCTTCTGTAACAGTTCTTTTACATATAAAAAATTTATAAAACTATATATTATCGATACGTGTGTGGGCGGAGGAAGCAAAAAAATTCTCGACCCAACACTTTTTCTAAAATCACTAAAATTCTAACTAATACATATATATATATATATATATATATATATATATATATATATATATATATATATATATATATATTAAAATAATAGGAAATAACAATGAGATTTAGCATTTATTTTTATTTTTAAATACAGTGCTTGATACAACCGTAGAGCATAATATTATAATTGCTTTTTTTTTAATATATAATCATCGCAACACCGGAATTTCCATGTTTCAAAGCTGAAACTCCAATTCAAATTCAATCATAAAAATTAAACTTAAAATATAAAGTTCCACTCCATTATCAAGCGATGCTAAGAATAACCTTTTTATATATAGTGTACGATTAATAAATTTTCGTTTAAATTACGCAAAAATTAAAATAACACTGACATTTCATTTTAACAGATATATTTACCAAAATTACACAAAAAATGCCTTGAAATACTAAAGAGTAGAATTGTTTAATAAAATCGCCATTTGTTTCAACCACAACCTTCAGACGATTTCGGAATCTTGTGCAACTCTTCTGGGAGGTCTCCTTGTTTAAATTGGTAAATGTTGCCATATTCCTTGCCTTCAGTCCATCTTTGGTGTTACGAGATGCTTTGTTGGTCTCCTGCTCAACTGTGCCCTACAAATAATAATCAAGGGGGTTGCAGTCTGGGGTGTTATGGAGTCAGTTGTAAGGGGTGATGTGGTCGCAGAAATTGTGTGACAGTCGGGACTTGGTTTTCCTGCTCGCATAGCATGATGCAGAGTCCTGTTGCCGGATATAGGGTCTTTCAGCAGCCAACCACTTGACCCAGGCAGAAATACCTCCTCAAAGCACTTGACGTAGGCCTCCGTGTTGAGTCTGAGACCCTGTGTGGGAAGATGAATAGAAGCATAACGTCGCCATCACTAATGATCACTTCAAACAGCATAATTTTGACCGGATATACCATCCAATTCTTTCTAAATCCTCTACACTGTCCTCACATTGACATCCAAATACTCTAAAAAGTTCTTACTGGAGCTTCCGGCGCAGTAAAGCAATGCCGTTTCCAAATTTCGGGTGGAGTGAATTGTGCCATGATGCTTTTTTTCTTACAGACGATACCCAACTGACCTTACTATACTGTGATGTCGGCAAAATCAAAAACAAACAACGCGCATGCGCGAAATTAATGTGGTCGCAGAAATTGTCTGATAGCCATGACTGGGTTCCCCTGTTTGTGTGGCATGGCGCAGATTCCTGTTGCCGGACAAGAGTTCATAATTTCAGCTTTTATTTTCTGCTATTTACACCTAGATGTGTTAAAACAGCTTAGGACATACCACCTTTTGTATAAGATCAATCCATTTTTAGGTGAGCGAAAGCAAAGGTACAGATAATCTTAAGGTAACATTTAATATTTAGTTGCGTACCCCTTGTTTGCAGTAACTGCATGACTCTTGCGACACATTGCCATCCCACAACTGTTGAATTCTTCATTTGTGATGCTTTTCTAGACTTTTAATGTAGCCTCTTTCAATTCTTGTTTGTTTCGGGGTTTCTCCCTTCAGTCTCTTCTTCAGGGTGTGAAATGCATACTCGATTGGGTTAGTGATTGACCTGAGCCATTCTAAAACTGTCTATTTTTTACCCTGATGAAGTCTTTTGTTGTATTGGCAGTATGTATTGGGTTATTGTCCTGCTGCATCATAAACTTCCTCCCAATTAGTTTGGATGCATTTCTCTTTAAATTGGGTTTAAGATCTGTTATGGAGTGGTTTTACAGTGGAGGCTTGTATTTGTACTAAGTCGGTCCTAAAATAGGTTCAACGTACAAAACGTTAGGAACTTGATATAATAGGTAATGACGCAGAGAAATCTAGTTGTGGTCGCTGATACTTTAGTATCCGACTAACGGTCGTCCGGCATCGACTGACTGACCAACTCACTGAGCGACTTCCTCATTACTCTTACTACTCCTACTTATTATAGGTGGGAGAGTCTATTAACTATAGAATAGGTGTGTCCCACTATAACAAGATCAAAAGATGAATATGAGACAGGAGTTTGTAATCTTATCTTTTATTTCTTGGTATTTACATGCAGATATGTTAAGCACTTTAAGACATACCACCTTTTGTATCAGATCATAGCATTTTTAAGTGAGAAAAGTAAAAGAAAAGACAGACTTGAAGTAAATAACATTTAATATTTGGTTGGATAACTCTTGTTTGCAGTAACCGCATCAAGCCTGTGCTCTATTTACATCACCAAACTGTTGCATTCTCCATTTGTGATACTTACCGGGACTTTTAACACAGCCTCTTTCAATCTTCTCTTCAGGAGATGAAATGCATGCTCTATTAGGTTAAAGTTCCTGTCCTTTGCAGCTCTAAATAAATTCTATCTTTTCTTTATTTCTAAACCCTGTTCTGCCATTTTCTAGACATTTAAAATAGCCTCTTTCAGTTCTTGTTTGTTTCGGGGGTTTCTTCTTTCAGTCTCCTCTTCAGGTGGTGAAATTCATGCTTTATTGGGTTACGGTCCGGTGATTGACTTGGCCAGTCTAAAACTGTCCAGTTTTTTCCCCCGATAAAGACATTTGTTGTGTTG